TGGAAAGTATTAATGTGTTCAATTACAGTATACCGCTCCAGACACTGTTATACTCAGAAAAAGCTTAACAGTCTCATCCTTAATCCAAAATTAACTCTCCAAAAGGCTTATTACTGAAGTGAGGAAGCTACCACGAGGATGGGAGGTGACATCAGTCTGGAGATTAATTAACTAACTGGAGATTAACTCAGGGCAAGAAAGATGAAGAGAGATAGCAGTTCCCCAACCCTGAAGCTTGGCGCTTTCTTATTTGCTGTCCTGTTTTCTGCAGGATCTCGGCTTTCATTTTAAAAAACACACAAAGTTCCCCTCTAGTTCTTCTAAAAACAGGCCTGTGCAGCAGAAACAAACCCATCATTGTATCAGAGCTGCTGAAGGCTTCAGGAGCATCTAGGGAGGTAGGGACCTGGGCTGGCCCTCTGACCAACTTCAAAAGCTGGCTAAGGTCACTTGCCTGTCAACTTCTAAAGGAAAAAAAAAAAAAAATCCTTTATTTTCTGTGGATGCTTCCACCAGACAAGTTCCTTAAATTAATGGTCCTATTTCCTGTGGGAGGCTACCGTGAGTGCAGGCTACCTTCCGGTGGCCGCGCAGACGAGATTTCCAGTGACACATGTGCTTATGCCTGAGCGCTCAAAACATGCTAAGCGTATTTCCCCAGCTCCTTTAGGATAAAAATTCCCCTCCTGCTCCTATGTACTACTTCCTTAAGCTTCACAACTCCACTACATGGCAGAATGCAGAACCTTCCCAAATGCAGAGATGCTGAAGGGAACATATCCTAATCATCCAGAAGAAACAGATTCAAATACCTGAAACCCGCCTGTGGCCACAGGGCTTGTAGGTGCCCACACCGAGATTCTGATGGGGCTTGTTGTCTGCAAAACGTGTGCCTGCACTTCCCCGGGACAGGCCCATGGGTCTGGGCATGACGTGTGGGAGAGGCAGGGGTGAGCCCTGTGGTTTTGTCTCATGTCACGGTGAGAAACTGCTTAAATTCCTTCATGTCAGGCTGTCAGTGCTAATGGCTAAGGCGTCAAAGGTGGCTTCCACAATGCAGTACAACAACGCTAAAGAATAAGGAGCCTTGGGTTGGGCTTTGCCACTAGTACCTGTGACGAACTCAACAAAACCTCTCTGGCTTTACCTTTCTCCCCACAAAAATGAGGAGATTGGACCACATAAGGGTCCCTGAAGTAGATCCTGTGGGTGGACACGCTCAGCCTCTATTCCCGCTCCTCTGGTGGGCCTTCCTGTACAGCAGAGACTACAAAAGCTAGACACTACATTTCCCAGAATCCCTTGCATCTGTGGTCTTTAGATGTGACTTGGGTACCACCAGTTACATGCACCATCAGGAGATTTGACTTCGGGCCTGAGTTAATTGAGCCGAGGCAGGTATGTGGCAATTGTTTCACACCCTGCATTAGCAGAAGCATCGTGATGCACGACAGCAGCCAAAGAAGGCCACGGCTGCAGTTCCCTAGGCAGCCCAGTTCTGTAGTGTGGCTCTGGGAGTCACTCCTGGGAGCTCAGCCTGGTCTCTCTTTAGCCCATTTAGTACCCCATAATTAACCACTGTCTGCTTAAGTGAGCTACAGTGGATTCTGTTTCTGCAACAAATCCATTCAGACCCTTCCAACCACAAAAACCGACTTCACCTATATTCCAGTTAAAAGCTGGCTGCAGTTAACACTTGCATTGTTCTCCTATTCCTTTTTCCCCCTTTAAATTAATTTAAGCTTTTTCAAGCATCCATTCCAAGCATTTTCCCCTTTTGTCTTGCTTCCTATTTCCCCCCAGATGCTATTGACTCCTTCCCTGCCTGTATTCCTCTTCTATGTTGGCTTATGTCCTCCTATGAGTCAGGCATTACTGCACCGGGTGCTGAAAATACAAGCTCAGCAGGAATGCTCCCTGCCTTTGGTGGGTCTAGAGTCAAGAAGAAAAGTCTGGTCAGCCAAGGAGATGGTCAGTGAGTTACAAGACTGGTGGGGGGAATTGGGACATCCAGTTCTGTCTTGGGAGACTGAAGTCAACAGGCAGGGAATTAGGGATGGGGCTTATGTTACCTTCCAAATATCAAATGGGTGGGTTTTTTAAAAATACTTAAATCCAGCCAATCCAGTTGGTAAATCCCTTGTCCCTGCTGTAGGCAACAAAGTATTGGACATTAACAAAACTTGCTATGAGTCACTGTCGGCTAACTCCCCACTGGGCAGTTTACACACACACGAAATTGCTCAGCGCGTTGCCTCCATTGTTTCATGTAATCTGCCCAATGCTTTGGAGAGGCCGATTCGCTTATTTCTCTATTTTGCAGATCAGAGAACTGAGGCTCAGAACAGATAATGTATCCCCAACCACAGCTGGTGAGATGGACCCAAATGAGGTTTTCCTTCTCAAAAACCTTCCAGAGCCCCTCCTCTGCCCCCACGGGAGCACCCACACTTCTCGGCTTGGCCCCTTTACCATCACAGCCTATCCTGGCTACATGTCCAGTTCCTCACCTTGACTCTCCCTGACCCCAGGCCCATTTCCCATCCTCCCTCCAGCTCTGAGTCCTGTCCTTACTCAAGCTTTGGGCTCAGCCCATACTACCCTAAAGCGTGCCTCTCCCCCTTCTCTCACAGCCCTCAAATCCACACCAAGAATGTACTGCTCAGAATGTACTGCATCTTTGCTTGTGCTTCTAGTTGAGCATTCACTTTCCTGTAATAGGGTTAATAATTAATTTAGTATTTGTGTCTCTCCACCAACCCAAATAATTCTAGCTAGAGTTATCGGACACCTACCATGTTTCACGCTTGACTCATTTATCCTCACAACTCTATGAGGTTTCATTACTATCCCCATTTTTACAGGCGAGGAAACTGAGGCCCAGAGGGACTAAACCAGAGCCTAGAGCCCTAACCGTTACTGTCAGAAGATTCTGGAACACCAGGGTGGCAGCATCTTTATCTCCTGGCTGCCTTGTGCACAGCAGGCACTACATACTGTTGGATGGGATGTAGCTTCTCTCTGCCCTTCTCTGGTCCTAAGAACCAACTGTCCAGTAAGTGTCTTCAAGTCACTGAAAAACATGCATCATGCCTGAGTGGCTTCCCCCTCTTATGGTCAGGAAACTAATTCTTAGACAGTTCAGCATACTTGGCATAGAACTCTACAGTTACACAACGTGCTAATTCACGGGCAATTGGACCGGTCATTTGAAAATGGCCAATACCACAGCTGATAATTCTGTAGGCTTGGAGCATCTTAACCCCAGGAGTTCTTGTGGAAGCTGAGAGGGAGAGGGAACCTGAACTTCGGCCTCAGTAAACAAACAAAAACTCCTCTGGAAACCTTGTTAAGGGTTGAGGAGCAAACTCTATGCCCTCCCCCCCACCCCTGGCGTCAGCACCAAAACAAGGATCCTGGGAATAAGATTGGTTTATTCATTCCCTTAATCCAGGGCCCCAGTGGAGCTGTTTGCCTGGGGTGGCAGAGATCTCCTAAAATGGTGGTTAAGGGACTGGACATTTTTCCTGTGCCACCTTGTCTCCAGGGCAATCTGGGCAGCTGGGGGACAGAGGGGTGAAGTATCTATAGACCACCTGAACACAATGTTGCAAAGTGTCCTTCCCCCGGATGATAAATATGCAAGTGGATACTTGGTAGCATTTCCTGGAGGGCAGAGCTACAGGCCTCAGGCAAATTGTCCCTCCCAGTTAACCCCATCTGGCCCAGAAAAGCCTCCCATCAGCTGACTTTGAACCTCGTCAGCGCACTTAACACTAAGCAGGATGCCTACACCCAGTCCCAGCATCCTTTAAAGGTGTCTTTCTTAAGGATTCCAAGCTCCAGCCTCTAGCCTCAATTCATAACCAAATGCACGCCAGCCCACCACGGAGCCAAGCCCCTGGAGCCAGGAATATGCACAGGGGAGGGAAGACCTCTCCCAGGAAAAGTAACGGAGGAGGCTTTCGCAATCCACAGCGAACCCTAGGGCTTCCGCCCCATCCCGGTGCCTGGGCAGGGGGCTTCGGGACCACCCTGGAGCGCCCAAGAATTAACACCTACACCAAGGGCCTGGAGCCCGAAAAGGCTCACACTAAGGCCCACCTGGCTAGGAACTGGGGTTATGTGATTCCTAAAACACCACTCCCAGGCTCCCTTCGCCCGTGAGTCAGTGGAATGGTACAGCTTAGTCTTAGAGGTAGCGGATACCTTTGAGCAAGCAATCATGGCAGTTCCACACAGGAAAGCGCAGATGGGCGTCCGGATAAGCTGTGGCCTACAATTCCAGGAGGCTGGGTGGGGGTGGGGGCTGAAGCACGAAAATAGAGGGAAACAAACACTCCAACCCACTGGGGGCGGGGCAGTAGGCCAATTTGCAGTTGAATCCGTTCATCCGTGAACATAATTCAAGAAGATTTGACAAACACAAGTTTAAAGTGCCCGGCACAGACCTCGTGTCTAACGGGCACTTCATAATTGGCACGGGGAATAGTTGTGATTGTGAAAGACCCACTGTGTGCCAAGCTACCACCACTGCCTCCAGAACTCGAGGAAGGGGGCGAAACTCAGAATTCACAAAGCTGTAGGAACTGCACCTCAGAGGAGAGGAGCCCGGGGCCTGGGGTCCCTTCTTTCCCACCCCAGGAACTCCGACGGCCAGGGTGTTCCTCAGGCCCTGCGCACAGAATGGACTGCTGGGGGGAGGAAGCTGTGCCTGAGCCTTTAGGCAGCTCCGGCGGCCACGCGGGCGGCCTGTGCCCGCGCGGGAAGCCAGTCTCCGGGATGCAGCAGCGCGGGCGGCCGGCTACCTGGCAGGCGGGAGGACGCGGGGAGGCGCCCTGGCCGCGACCCAGGGGCAGGTGCAGGAGCTGCGCAGCGGGCGCGCTGGGTGCTCGGGTGCCGGGGCGCGCGGGCGGGCGCGACAGGGAGAGGCGCCGGCCCTGGGAGCCCGACGCCAGGGCGTGGTGCAGGTGGCGGCGGGGGCAGAGTCGACATCGTACCTTGATTTTCGATCTGGCGACCGGGCGCTGCTTCGCCGCCAGGTGTCCACCGGGGACCTCGCCATCGCCAGGCTCGGGGGTTTCGCGCTCGGGGGCGCGCGGGGACGAGCTGCTCTCCGCGCCTCCGGGCTCCCCCGCGCTGTTGCTGCCGCCGCCGCTGCTGCTGCCGCCGTCGCTGCGGCAGTCCTCGGGAGGGTCGTGGAGCAGACGGCCCAGGCCCACTGCAGGGGAGGGCCGCGCCCCGACACACAGACACGCGGCGTCAGGCCCGGGCGCCCGCGGCAGTTTGACCTGCGGGCGGTGCCGCCGCCGCCCCGCCCCGGACCTGGGCACCTCGCCAAGTGGGCAACGCCGCGGGGGTGGGCGAGAGAGCCCCGGACTCGGCCTCCTGAGCGATCTCGGGGTTCTGGGAGCCGCTCCTCAGTCCCAGTTACAGCGCCCACGAGGAACAGAGGGCCCAGCGCGGCTGGGAACCCGCGCGCCAAATTTCCTCTCCCTGGGATGGGGGCGGGGGTCCTGACCTCGACCCACCCAGCCCCGGAGAGGTTGACCCATCCCTGTGCAACCCCACGAGGACGTGGGACTGAGGGTTGCCCCTACTGGCCCCTAGCCCCCTTCCCGGGCCACCCCGGCCCGCGCTGCAGCCAACGGTCCCGCCGCCGGGCAATTAGAGGCGCCCACTAGGGGGAAGGGGGCGCAGGGCGTCCCAGGTTCCCAGCCTCTCACTCTCGGTCCTCCCGCACCTCAGTGACTTCCTCCTCCCCTTGAAAGAGGGACATGGGGGAGGGGGAGAGTCCAGCCTCGGCCGTAGAGCAGAGGGGACCCGGCCACCCTTGCCCACACCCCAGGAACCCGGCGCCCAGGCCCGGCCCCGGCGCGGCGCTCACCTGGGATGTAGGTGTCTGCCCTCTCCTCGTCCGGGAGCTCATCCCAGCTGCGGACCGAGACCCCCGGGCTCCTCCTCTTCACCAGGAAGACTTTGGGCATCGTGGGGCCCCCTCCCCGGACTGCGGCCCCTCGTCCCGGCTGCTCCCCTCTAGGGGCGGCGGCGGCTCGGTCCCCGGTTCCCCGCGGCCAGAGCCCACCTTCCCGCCCGGCCGGCCCTCTCCCTCCGCCCCCCGCCGCGGCGCGGCCCGGCCTCTCCCCCGCACGCCCGGCGACTCCCAGCCTCCCGGCTCGGCGACACCTATGCCTCAAATCGCGGGTGAGACCACGCCGAGGAAAAAGTTTCATAAGGTGGAATAGAAAAGGCACCAGGAAACTTGGGAGTGAGCATGCGCCCTGCAACATAACGGTGTCAACAAGCTCGCTACCTGTCCGACCGGTTCCGGCGGCCGGGGCTGCCTGTTCCAGCCCTTCCTTCGGCACGAATGTTTGCAAAAGAATTTAACGTCTCAGTCTTTCCCCCCTCCCCTTCTTAAAAAGGGAAGAACGTTTCTCTCTCAGCCCCCTGCCCCATTCCCCATCACAGGCACCGCAGGGCGAACTCTTTGAGGAAAGCACCAAGTCCGCTCCCCGGGCGTCCCCCCTAGAGCTGGAGCCCCCGGGAGTCGCCCCCTCCCCCGCCCCCCCCCCACCCCGCCCCAGTGGATTCGCCTCCGACAAGCAAGCCAGAAAATGGCTCAGTTCCTCTGGACTTTGTGGATCATTCCCGGGGTTTGTTGAAATCTCGGTGTGCGGAAGGGGGAGGCCGCGGGAGACTCCCCAGGATTCTGATCTGGTAAAGAGGGAACTTGGGAGCTTCAGCTCCCCCTCATAGACAACAGTCCCCCAAATAAACACAGTAAAATTAAATGTTAAAATTCATGCATCTTTAGAACGTTATTTTGTGCCATACAATCTAAGAAAAACAAGTCCGCTTGTTCCACCCCAAGAGTCGCCTTACCCCAAATAAACACGATGGAAAAAAAGCCAAGGGCTGGCTATGCAAACACAGCTTTGAAACAAATTTCTTATCCTCGCCCACTCCCATTATTGCCTCCCCTAACCGTTTGCTCCCCAAATTCTGAGGCTGAGAAATACTTTCCAAGAAGCCAGTGAAGATGGGCTACATATCCCCTCACTGCCCCTACTGGGGAGGTGGCTGGAGAGCTTGGTATATATTTTGGGTTTGGGGTTTTTTGCTTGTTTGTTTGTTTTCATCTACCTTTATACCTGGAGGGCCGAGGATGGGGGAGAGGGTAGAGAAGGAAGGGGAGCTGGTAAAAGAAAGATGCCAAGTTTCTAAGAGCAGCTGTACCCGCGTTGCGGGATTTGGGGGCGCGCTGCGGGTCCTACGGCCTCTGCTCGGTGTGCCCAGGGACGCATAGCACCGCCTCCACGGCCGTGGCGGCCACCCCCTTCCCGGGGTGATCAGACGTGTGCCAGCTCCGGGGGCTGCGGGGACGCGGCCGGCCAGGGGTGCCCTGGCGCCAGCAGCTCGCCCATCCGCCCGACTCACCTGTCTGTAACCTGACCCGTTGCGCGCCCAGCCCACAGGGCGGGAGAATCAACACAGCGGTTTTCCCCGTCCTCTTCCGCCCTGGAATGGCCTTTGGGGACACAGCAGCCTGGTAACGGATTTCTTGGCTCGGCTGGAATACTCTCCCCGCGCTCGGAGACGGGGCGCAGCTCGGCCCAGACTGCTCAGGGTGCAGACGCGCCCCGCCTCCGGAGCTGCCCTCAAGGGGTCACCCTCTCTGGACTCTTCCCTGTCCGGACTCCAGATTTTCTCTGAGAACGACAAACAAAGAAGGAAAAAGACTTTGCGCCGGGTGAGCCAGGGGAGGAGGAGGAAGACATTTCCATAGCGGCACAAGGAGACCAGGCTTCTTTCTCGTCCACGAGGCTGATGGCGCAGCTTCTGGGAGAGACTGCGAATGTATTTTTATCCGCCAACAAACTGGAGCCTTGCTAGAAAGAGAGAGCTTGGCTGAATGAAAGTAAAAATAGAGTAAAACTGTGAAATCACGGAAGTATGTCCCATCTCATAAAAAGCTTAAAAACTTCACTTCATTCAAAATTCCTTATTTTACAAAAAAAAACCCCATTAACAGAGCTTTTTCTTCTTCTTCTTCACCTTTCACTGGATTTCAGATCACCGAGTGCCTGAGACACTTTGTCCATTATTTGGAAATATTATAGAATGATAGGATCTAAGAATAGAAACCTCAAAATGCAACACAACCTTCAGAGGATTGGAGGTGAAAATAACAGGTATAATTACACTTTTATTCAACCAATTGTTGTATGCCTGCCTATTCTGATATTTGCTGGATATTTCTTTGGAAGAAGGGAAATCTAATGTGTTATCTTTCTTTTTTGTGTGTGTGATCATACTTGAGATAGGTTTATCAACAGTATTAACATTTTCAAAGAAACAGTTTTGCCTTTGTTGACTTTTCTCTAGTGTAAGGTCAGATTTCTAAGTATTATGAGAGGTATTGATAGAGTATTGCCTAAAACTAGGATAAGAAATGGTAAAAAAAAAAAAAAAAAAAGAAGAAAGAAAGAAATGAAGCCAATTCTTTTTAAAAATCTCAAAAGTTTGGAGTTGGAAGAGACGGAAGACACGCTATGGTCCAGAGCTCACCCACTATTGCGGGGAGGAGGTGGTCCCGGCAGAGTGCCCTTGATAGGTGTGTCGCCAGCCCTGCTTGAATACTTCCAGTGCCGGAGAGCTCATTTTTCCAAAAAGCAGCCTATTCTCTGGTTAGACAACACTGATCTTGAAAGCTTTTCCTTCTGCTATATGGAAATCTGTTTCCCTGCATTTCCATCTACCCTCCCCATTCTGCCCTCAGGGGCTGCTGAGCCCCCTCCCCCTGATAGTTCCTCTAAAGCATGCAAGCACCATGGGTGTTCTCAGTTAAGACTTCTTTTCTTCAGTAATGTATGGTGAGATTGAAATAGACAGGTACAAACCTGCTCAGTGGCATCCTTGGAGCAGACAGTTACGAGGAGAGGTTAGGATGTCAGGAAAATATTCCTTAAATTTTTTTAAAACATTTTATTGAAGTATAACACAGTGTTAGAAAAAATGCACAGATCATAAGTCCACAGCCAGATAAATTTTCACAAACCAAATTCACCTTTGAACCAGCATCCCAGAACAAGACAAAGCTGCCGGCTCTCAACATTCCATTCAACATTAGACCAGCTTCCTTATAGGTTCAATAAGGCAAAAAAGAAGAAATAAATGTATAAGGATTATAAAGGAAATAACAAACCAAGATGATTTGTAGTCAGTATGATTGTCTGTGTGGAAAACTCAAAAGAATCCTCAGATAAATTATTAAAATTAATAAGAGAGTTTAGGGCTTCCCTGGTGGCGCAGTAGTTGAGAGTCCGCCTGCCGATGCAGGGGACACGGGTTCGTGCCCCGGTCCGGGAAGATTCCACGTGCCGCAGAGCGGCTGGGCCGGTGAGCCATGGCCGCTGAGCCTGCGCGTCCGGAGCCTGTGCTCCGCAATGGGAGAGACCACAACAGTGAGAGGCCCGCGTACCGAAAAAAAAAAAAAGAGAGTTTAGCAAGGTTGTTGTGTATAAAATCTGTATGTGTGTGCCTGTGAGAGTGGATATGTGTTGTGTCAATTGCATTTCCATATGGCAGTAACAGAAAAATTAAAAGTCTAATAAAAAAATTGACTTACAACAGCAACCAAAATAAAAGTGCCTTTAAGTAAATTTTTTAAAAATATTGTGCAAGTTCCTTGTGGATAAAATTAGAAAACTTTTTATTGGAATACATTAAAAAAGATACTAATCAATGGAAAGATTTACCATACTAATGGATTGGAAGACTCCGAGTCAAAAAGAGGTCAAAAATCCCCAAATTCATCTGCAGATTTAATACAATTCTTAAAAATACTTGGGGGGAAAAAGATCTTTTTGTGGGGCCTGACAAAATTATTCTGAAGTTTATATGAAAGAATAAGCAACACACTCCCGAAAAAAAACCAAGGTGTATAGATTTGCTCTATCAGACATCAGTAGTAATTAAAATAGTGTGCATTGGTGCACAGATAGACATTGGTGCACAGGCTGACCACCATTACAGAACAGAGAGCCCAGAAACAGACCCACACATATGTGGAAATTTGATTTATGAGAAAAGGCATGGCAGAGCAGTGGGAAAAGATGAGTCATTCAATAGGTGGAACTGGAACGTTGGTTATCCATTTGGGGAAAAATAAAGGAAATTGACTAACACACACACAGAACAATTTCCAGTGGATTAAACATTGAACTATATATGTATAATTATACATATATATTGGTTTGATCAAAAAGTTCGTTTGGGAAAAATCCGAACGAACTTCTTGGCCAACCCAATAGAGAGCTAGATAATGTAAAAGAATATATTTATGATATAGGGTAGAGAAGAATTTCTTAAGAAACAAAAAACAGACCATAAAAAATTTGATAAGTCTGACTGCCGAAAAATTTTAAAGGTACCAACAGGCACAATAAAGAGAATAAGCTAAACAACATACTGAGAGAACTTTTGCAACACATTTATCTTACAAATGCTTAGGATCCAGAATATATAAAGAACTCTTACAAATGAATATGCAAAGACAAACTCAACAGAAAAATGTCAAAAGACTTGGATAGACATCTCCCAGAAGAGAAAACATGAATGGCTCATCAACATATAAAAAATACTCAATCTCATTAGTAAACAAGAAAATACAAACTAAAATGACAGTGAAATGCGATTTTATGTTTACCAGGCTGGCAAAATTTTAAAGTTTGACAATACTAAATGTTGGTGAGGATATGGACCAATGAAACTGTTCAAACGTTGCTAATGTGTATGTACATTGATTCAAACATTTTGGAAAAGAGTTTGACTTTACCTAGTTAAATTGGACATACACATATTAAATGACCCAGAAATTCCACTTCAGGTTTTGTAATCTAGAAAAAGTCTTGCACTTTTGCACCAAGAGTCACAGACAAGAATATTCATCATAGCATCATTCGTCATACTCAAAAAAAATAAAAACCTCAACACAACCCAAATGACAATCAATAACTGATTGGATTAACACATGGTGATAAATCTGTACAGTGGAAAGGAATGGCTCACAGACACACACATTAACAAAAGTAAATCTCAAAAGCATATTGTTGAAAGAAAAAAGCAAGTTACAGAAGAATTGTACTATAAGATTCAAATGATTTTAAAAAACATCAATGTAAACAATATATTGTTTAGGAATACAGACACTTGTTAAAACCATTAGGCAACAAGCAACGACTTGGAAGAATCTCTAGAGACTATGCTGAGTTAAAAAGGAATCCCAGGGACTTCACTGCCAGTCCAGTTGTTAAGACTCTGTGCTTCCACTGTAGGGGACACGGGTTCGGCCCCCAGTTCGGGAACTAAGATTCCCGCATGCCGTGTGGCCCGGCTGGGGAAAAGAAAAGAAAAAAAAAGTAATCCCAAAGGTTACCCATTGTATGATTCCATTTATATAACATTCTTCTTCTTGTTTACTTTTTATTTAAAAAATTTTTATTCCATT